CCTTTAATCATCGGATTTTTTTTTGGATTGCAGTTTATACCAGGGTCTAGTGGTTTGTTGTTGAATAAGATTCTCTGATTCTGTATCGATGTTTAGATCCAGTGTTACAGTGTAATGATCACTCACTGATGGGCGAAGTAATCTGGTTTGGCCTCTTCGATTGTATTAGAAGAGATCGATACTTGATTCGTTTTACAAGTTTAGCTTAAGCATCTAATATGCTTAAGAGGTCATTTTTCTCTTGTTTTCGCTCAATGTATTAATATTGAAATCACCACATAATACATGTTTTGACTGGGGGTTGTGAAAAAGACTATCCAATTGTTTATGAAGCGTGTCTAATGTTTGCGAGTTGACAGCGCTAGGTGGTATATAGACACGAAATTATGAGACTTTTGCAAAGTTTCGTCACAATTCGAATGCTCAGATTTTGAATATTTTTATCATTCATTTCTTCAGAGCTTCAAAATTGACCTTTTCTCTGACATCAATACCTACTCTGTCTCCTCTTTTTTCGAACATTCAATTAAGGTTGATATCCATATAATTGAAGTAGGCTAATTAGTTGGTTTTCCTTCAACCAAGTTTCTTTTATACATATCGTTTGCTTTGGATTTAATTGCTCAACCAATACTTCAAATTCCTGAAGCTTTTTAGGAAACAATTTTCTGTTCTGTAGTAAAAAAAAGTTGGCTGCATGAAGATTACTTAATTGTCATTGATGGGTCTTTGTTTATCCTTTCTGATAAAAAAACTTCGAACAACGGCCTATAAATCTTTTTACTTTCGCTTGGGCAGTAGTTTTATCAAACTATAAATTGAAACTGAATGTCAGTGTTACGCGCTGTATGATTGATGTTTTTTTTTCGCTTTAGACCTAGTTTTGCATTTATAGACAAGAATAATTGATGTGAAACATATACTCTTTTTTGCTGTTTCGTCGTTCTTTTACAGTATTTTTTGACGAGTAACTAAAGTAGTACTAGTAAAAAAAAACACAATCTAATCAAAATAAAGAGCTGTTAAGAGTATCATACACCTGACATTGCACCGATAAATTGTTTTAAAGAACCCGTGTTCTGACCTATTGATTGCGTAATCCCAAACCAGTCAGATCTGCTTGCGTAATCTTAAGCAGGTCCGACAGGACTTTCGAATACATTAACCGAGCACTGACTTGAAATAGCTTTGCTTTAGAGCAGTAGGAGTCAGGTCTTAGCAAAAACGAAAGAGGTTTTAAGGAATTTCTTAGAGTTTCAGTTCCTCATTGGATCGTATAAGCAGACGGTTTCAGTCCCTTAATTTGGGCAGCATTAGGTCTTTTTATTTGGGAAGATTCTGTTTGTGCAGTTGATCATCCTCTCTCGCAATTGAACATATTTTCTTTGTACAGCATTTTTCTCAGGCGCTTTCAGATCATCAACACTGTTTACTTTGACATAAATTTTGCCCTTATCGTCGGTCCTCGCCGCGACCAAAACCATGCAATTGTTGGTGATGATCTCGAGACCCATTTGCTTAGCAGCTGCTTCATTTTTTGCTTCTGTTTCGGGCAGGGACTCGTGTAAGTAAATCCCTTTTTTGCTTACTCGATTAGAATTCTTGCGTGAAATTCGCCGCCTGCTATTCCATTTTACAGGCTTATCATCAGATAACACAAACTTGCAAATAAAACTCGGCTCAAAGTCCTTAAGCTCCCTAGGCAGAAAGTGGTACGCTTTTATTCCTATTTTAATTTAAATTCCGTAAATTTTTTGAAAAACTGCAAAGCCTCGATAGTAATGTCCTGTGCTCTTCTCGCCTCGAAGAGAGGGTTGGCACTGAAAATACTGTCCTTGAGTGAGTATCTTTCTTGCGCTCTCATTTTCTCTTCCGTGTCCTTTTGACTTTTTTTCCGAAAATTTGATTGGAATTTGTTGGTCACCCGTTAATTTTTTCAAGTCCCTACCCTCTTTTTCAATTAGGCTCATTTTTTGGTCTGCTATTTTTTACTCATGGAATATGACGTTTCAACTGTCTCCAAACTTCCATCAAGAAAATCGTCCTCAGTATCCATTTAAATGATAATAGAATGATATTTCAGTAATAAATGCTTAATAATTGAGATCAAACACTTTCAAGCTAGTTGAATGCTTTTTTAAAAATGGCAGTAGGAATTTCAGTTCAATTTGTTGAAGCTAAAATCAATTAAGGTCAGCCGACTGTTTTTCAGACAATTTTTGTCATCGCAATTCTTGACAGCGGTTTAGCAGTCTAAATTTTTTCTAGTGAGCAGGAAGGTCAAAAATCAATCTAATAATTTTATCACAACAGTTAGGCTAACAGTTGCCGTTTGTTAACTATCTTTTGAATTTTCATTAATATCCGTCGCCTGTGCTTCTGGATTTGTTTTCCTCACAGAGAAATTGATTCCAGACAACTGTTTGAATTTTTTTATGATGTGGTTTTTTGAAGTTTTTTCATTTGTTTTGGACTGAAATGTTAATTTCCTCAGAAAAATCAAATATCGCAAGTCGCCTCCTCAAAAAAATCCAAAGTCTGAACATTTGAGTTCTATGGAAAGAACGAGAAATGTATCCTGCTTCAGGAGCTAGATTCACACTTTTTACCAAAAATCTATTATCCGCTGAAAAGTCATATTTGTGACTTTTTGACCGTTTTTCTTGAAGTTTTTTGAGTTTTCTTGAAAACTTATGTAACAAGTATGAGATAGTGGATTCAATGAAGAAAGTTGTCCGTGAGAAATCTCACATTTTTTTAACTCATATTTTTCTCACTTCAAGTTGAATCCTCAAAAAAATCATTTTTGTGATTGTTTGACCGTTTTTCTTTAACTTTTTAAAGTTTTCTCGAAAACTATCCTGTGAAATATGAGTTTTTGTCTTTAATCTGATATGCAGGTTGAGTGAATCTTTTCTGCATATGCGGCTGTGCCCAAATTTCTTTACCCGAAAAAGGCTGTTTTGCTGCCAATTATTGCCAGCAATTATGTTTTCTTCGCTTTATCAGTGGCGAGTGTGTCGGTTCTTTCATGCGCAGTTGTGTTTGACAGTCGACTTAAAAATCAATCACTTTATTTCGAATCCAGGCGATGGCGTTTTTATTTAGAAAAAACTGCACCCACATTCTTATAGCAAAAATTTATGGCCTTCACACAAGTCAAAGTTTTTGGAACCTTGTTGACTTTACTCAAAACTACCGTGTGAATTCTCAGGTTGAGCGTTCAACCGAGAAACACGTTTTTGCCACTCTTTTCTACTCTAGCGGCCATGATCTGCTTAATGCAGAAAAAGTGTGAAAGCTTTCTAAAAGTTTTCTAGAAATTTTTAGTTTTCTTTTTAACTACCCTACAAATCTGAGATGAAAATTTAAATTGAAAGAGCCAATGGCAAGAAGTTTTCCTGCAGATTATTTTGGAGAAAAAACTATGGTTTTTGGGAAAGGTCCTATTTTTGAAATTATTCTTTTCATAACGCATCAGTATTACAAGTTCTAAAAGTATCAAACACGTACCTCCAGCTTTAGCTGGGCCATTAGTTAATTTTATCGAGACTTTCTGAATTTCATCTCGTATTAGTAATATTTTTCATTTTTTTCCTGTTATAATTCTTACGTTCGGTTTTATCGAAACGTAAAAACTCTTTACGGTACCCTCCTAAATCTGATATTAAGGATCAGTGGATGGAATGGATTGTGGAAAGCTCCTCTGCTTAAGCGTCCAAATCAATAATTCTACACAAAATTGGCCCTTGGAAAATGTTTTTGAATTTTTACCGTTTCTAAAACTTTTTGATTTTTCACAAAAATTACTCTCCCAAATCTAAGACTTTGATTTCAGGCTGTTGAAAGCTGCTGCACAAGTGGCTACGCCCAATTTTTTTCAACACAAGTTAAATGTCATCTGAGAAATCAAATGCTTACTACTGTCCCAAGTCAAAAACTACCGTCCCAAGTTAGAAAGAATGGAAAGAACGGGAAAGCTCTCCTGCTTTAGTTGCTTTACTAAAAAAATTTCATCAGTGGAAAAGTCATATTTGTGACTTTTAACCGTTTCTTTTTAAGTTTTTTTTACTTTTCTTGAAAACTAACCTCAAATTTAACCTCAGATGGTCGATTCAATGAAAATAGTGGTTAGTGGGAAGCTCCCCGCATAGAAGAACAGTAATGGTCCTCGTAAAAGTCAATAATTTGAGTTTTGAAAATTTTTTCAAGCTTTTTTTTGCAAACTTATCTTCCAAATCAAAATTTTTTTGAATCTAATTAAGAACTACTCTGCCGAATCTAATAACAGGGGAGTAATCAGGGCAACAGTTTATGGGAAGCACCTGTGCACTCGCGGTTACGCCCTAAATTTTGCAACAAAAGTTATCAGTCCTTGAGAAAGTTCTGATTTCTCAAAAAATTTCACTCTTATTTTATTGAAGAAACATCTAAGGTTTTGGGTGAAGCCCAATTTTCGAAATTACCAATTTCACCACGCTTCAGTAGAACAAATTCAAACAGGTACCTCTAGTTTATGAATTTATAGTCTATGAATCTGTAGTTTAAATGAACTGAACGTGTTTTGAAGAGTTAAAGAACGAAGTGTTTTATCGCTATTTTAGAACTTGTGAATTTCAGTGGTTTTTCAGAAAAAAGTCAAAAGTCCAGTTTGATTTTTCTCGGTTAGACTATTGATCTCATCATTACTTTCAGTGTCTATAATAGATCCTACTTGCCTGTCTTTCAATTTTCACAAGTGCCTCAGAAAAAGCTTTGAGGAGATTGAGTGAGAAAACTTACTAGAGATCAAGTTCAACAACAACAACAGTGAGTTTCAAAAAGTGGGATTTTATCATTCAGACACTTCGTTGTCATCCCAATTCATTTTTTCAATTTTTGTTACATAATTTAGGCTATTATTACTTAAACTTTGATGTGTAAGTGAAAGCACTTTTCGTTCTTGTGGATTTTTTCCTGTTCCGATTGCTAGATTGAGGCGGTCCTTTGGCTTCGGGTGTGCTCTATCTTTTAGATTTTTAGCTCTTAGGTAAAATCAAGTACCACAATTAAACTTCAGATGGTTCGAGAGATATATAGCATTAAAGGGCGCTCAGTGGTTTTGATTTTTAGTCTAGGTCGTTTGGTCTTATCTTACGATTGTCAGAAGTTTTCATGGCAACCTGGATTCACGTTTCATTCACTGACAATCATTTTCATCAATTAATGTTGAAAAAATATTCTTATGTTAATATTACAAACTATTCAATAAAACACAACGCGAACGCTGGCGCTTTTCAACACAACAAATGAGACTCAGCTTTGATATAAGAGGTTATACATAAAAATAGTTTCGGTCAAAATATTCGACAAGACATATAAAATTTCATCGATGAATCCGCACTTTCTTTTTGAAAGGTTTTAGTAGATTAAAAAAGTAGAATTACGTCGAATACTTAAGCTATGTGCATAAGAGTTAAGACTGAATTAATCAGAGCGAGTGTTTAAAACAATTTCAGAGTCACTGCCCGTTGCTATATTTGAGAAATCAGGCTGATGGTTTTCTTCTTCGTTTTCTTCGCTACCATTACGTACTAAGCTGCCTAAACTAACACTTCCTATTCTCATACGAACTCCAGTTGGTTGTCTTTCTTTATCTTCGTCGTCTTCTTCGTTGACCGATAGCGATCCACATTTGTCGTCCACTCGTGTTTTGGCGCTAGTGTTGTCTTCAAAGGTCATGTGACCTTCGGATGCTCGGCGACACTCACAGTTTGTCGGAGTGCGATCACGTGACATCGTGGGTGGAGCCCAAATCTCAGTGTTTTCTAACATGACCGACAAACGGCGAACCATCTTTCGGGTTTCCTCGTTGGCCATCTCAGCGATTTCCTGGAAATCGTCGGTTGAAAGCGCGATTCCGTAGGCGGTATCTTGATGCTTGAGTCGGCTCTTTGTCTCTAACACATTGGTCCGTTTGCCCAACTGGGCCAGTCGCTCGCGCGCGACCATCTCGAGCTGACATCGCATCTGGGGGAACTCAGTGAGCACTTCGTTGAAGTCCTCCACCTCGAGTGAGTAGAGGTTGCAGTAGCTCTCGGCGCGAATGCTGGCTGTGCGTTTTATTTTAGCTAACAGACAGATTTCTAAAACAAAGTTTGAACTCAGTCTTCACAATTCTGGCTATGTTTTTTTGAAAAAGTTTAAACAAAAATTGGAGCAGTTCATTGGTTTCATTAAAAACATATTTCCATTATTTAAAAAAACTTTACTTTTGAACCAATGAAACCAGCTCTAAGTCTCTCTTTTCGCATTTAATTTTTCGCCTTCTTTTTGCTTGATGAGAAGTAAAAAAAAAGTCTTAGAAAGCTGAATTTTGAAGAAAGCATAAATTTATTTCGAAGAAAGCATAAATAAAACGCTTTTATTACGCTTGGGACTAGCAAGATTTATCCAATAAATAAAATTAAATACTATGTCATTTTTACGCTGGCTATTGTCGTTTTTGACATTTTATCCTCCAAATGAACTTTCTAAAATATAATTTTTTTTCAAAAAGTTTGACTAATTTTCCTTAAAAATGCAGGGCTGATATCCCGAGCGTTAAATCAAGCTAGAAACTGGCAAAAAATGCAAACTTAACGACAATTAAAGCGCATTTAGCAACCTTTTAATGAAATTTATGCTCAGAAAATTGGCGAAAATAGGAGAGAAAAAAATCCAGTTTGAGGCTCAATTAAACAAAAATGGTCCGTTTTCACCAGTGCCATAATATTATAAAGCATTTCCTTGTAAAAGTGTCCCAATTATATAATAAAAATTTTCATTTCATTTTTTCATAATTTAGGGGGGTATAATCGAAAAGACCCGTCGCTTTTTCTGCGGTGCTTGTGATGTATTGCAAGTGATGCGAAGCTCTGCTTCACCTCCGAGCAAAAATTGCAACTCACCTCCAAAGTAAGACCCATCAAATAACTGAGCCACACATGATCCATTGTTAGTGACCACGTCCACTGTGCCCTGCTGGATGAAGAACATTTTGGTCCCGATTGTGCCCTCCATGATTACGTAATCGCCCGGCTGGTATACCTCGTGCTTCAACTTGGCTACTACTCCCGAGACAAAGAGCGGGTCAGCTCCTTGGAAGAAGGGAACTACATTCACTAGTTCACGGCAGTTATAGTTCAAAATCTCCTAAAACAGCAACAATTTTTGGATTGAACATGTAACAAAATGGAGAAACAAAAAAACAATCAAAAGTTTAAGGGTAAAACCGCGATTTTCAGAGCGCGATTGGGCTATTATATTCCCATCTTGCACAATGAAAAGCTCACGAACAACATGTTAGGAAAAATTATTAGTTTCTAGAAATAAATTGATGTTCAATTTGAAGTGCTGAAGCTAACTTTTTGAAATTGTTTTGAGCAATGAGTCCTGCTCTTTTTCACTTTTCCGTGGCAACTTGCCTGATAATTTGCATAAGTTTTGCTGGAAAATCTTGCTTTTTTCAGTTCCTTGCTTACCTCTCGAAGACAGTCGTTCATCTCGTCCAGGATGACATCTTCATCGAACATCTTGCCCTTGAACTTATACTCGTAGTACTCGTGCACTCTCACTTGCAGGTCAGGTGGCAATTTCCTATGCGCCATGTATTCTTCCACTTGTTTGATCTGAAGTGAGCAAAAGATATCATTGTTAAAATGTCACGAAGTTATCGTGCGAACATAAACAACGTCTTCGCATTTCAACTTCATGGTGATTTCCCGCAATGTAATGGTGAGATCTTGAATTTCTTAATTTGCAAAATTTTTTGTAAATTTACTATTTATGAAACTACTTGAAACAACTTCAAACCATTCTCGTCAGGGGTGTTCAAAAAACAATTGAGTTGAAATTAATTTCATTTATTTCGGTAAATAACGGAATCTCCAGAGTTCAATTAGTTCGATAATTGGATTTAGAAAGCTCAGTTATTGCAATTAATTTTGTGTTAAAATAACAAAAACTGTCTTTTTCTACTCGCTGTCCAGTAGGTATCCTGAAAAGGTGACCGCAATCAATCGAAGTTTTTTATTGGCAGAATGTTTGATCGGTTTTTGTTGAAATTACGCTTTTTAGAGCGAATATCGGAAACAATTGTGTTATCACCCCTGCGATAAGCAAGGGTATTGCAACCGGGTACTTTTTTCCCGTAAACAACTTTGTCCACAGGACTCATCTGGACATCTGGACTCATAATGTCTTCAAGTTTCTCAGCGTCCCGGGTAACTTAGCCAGGAGGTAACGAATATGCTGAGGACAGCAAAGGTCATGGGTTCGACTTTTTTTTTAAAACGGTAAATTTTCTGTTTCAAATAAAATTGTCGGCCAATTATTTGTCTGCTTATCTGTTTTCGGCTTAGTTGTCACATCATGGAATTGATTTTTTTCTGCGCGCACTTTTTTTAGTTTTGTTTTTAGTGTTTGATTTACGCCTACATTTCCAATATTTACATACCCTGACTTCGTATTTCCTAAAAAAGTTCCTTGGCCAAAACTAATTCGGCCTATTTTTCATCGGAATTATGACCTATTTGTTGACTGTTTCAAGTTCAAGATAAACACAACTTTAGCACTCCCTCAGCGCACTTTTCAAGTTGGTTGTATCTTTACCAATTGGTTTGCTGAAATTTCTTTATTTCGTTTTGGATTTTTTTTTTCTTTATGCAAAAAATTAAAATTTTCTCAGAGACTTCTGATTTGAAAAAAAGGGTATCAATTAAAGCGGTATCAAGAAAAACCACTTACTCCCCTGTGTGCATGCAAACTCCCCTAGTAACTTTTTTACTTAATCCCACTGTCCACAGCCTTCAAAAAAGTGTGGCTGATTATATTACCCATATTTTTGATTTTTTCGTTTTCTCAAAAACTGTTTCCTCTCAAAAATGAGTTTTTGGTTTCAATAAATTCAACTATTTTAAAAAATTTCACTCTATAAGTGTCTATAACCAAATACCAAACTATTTTTGCAAGTAAAGTTATGGCCATCGGAATAGTCAAATTTTCCATTTTTGATCGTCTTGTGATTCTTTTCGACTATTATCGAAAACTAACCTCTCAAAAATAATATTTTGGGTTCAAGGAGATAAAGCGTAGTGGTAAGTTCTTCTGCATTAGCGGAAAATAACAAAAAAACTACACAAGAATTTATCACCCTCTGAAAATTTAAATTTTTGATTTTTTGACTGACCGTTTTTTTTAAATTTTTTGAAAAATCTCCAAAACAACTCTGCCATAACCGTGATTTTGGGTTCAATTCTCAAAACGGGTTTCCGGAAGCTCGTTTGCTTATGCGAAAACGCCCATTTTTTGACTACAAATGTTTTGGCCCTCGGAAAAATTAAAATTTTGATTTTGTGACCGTTTTTTTTAAAGTTTTGACTGATCTCGAAAACTACCCTACCAAATTTAGGATTTTGGGTTCAATCGAAATTAGGCGTTGCGTGATTTTTTTTGCATAACGTTTCTGCATAACTTTTTTACGCAAAAAGCTATGAGTCTCGGAATTATCCTGCCAACTATCCTGCCAAATCTGATTTTATAAGTTTAATCGAAAGAACGGGTTGTTAAAAGCCTACTTTTATAATTGGCTATGTCAGTTTCTCGGAAAAATAGTTATGATTTTCAAACAAGTCAAAGTTATGAATCTTTAACAGCTTTTTTGGAAACTTTTGCAGACAATTTTTATGGATTTTGGAAAGTTTTTTGAACGTTTTTTAGAACTTTCGATCGATTTTTGGAAACTTTTTGAAGTTTCTTATAGTTTACATAATCAAATCTGAGATGAAAATTTCCATTAAAAGAACGGGTTGCAATAAATGTTTCTGCAGAAGTAGCAATTCTTTAATTTTTTTTAAGAGACATTTATCTCCTTGGGAAAATTGATTATCTCAAAACTTTTTTTATTTTAGTAGAGAAACAACTAAGGTTCTAGGCAAAGTCCAATTTTTAAAATCACACTTTTCATGCCGCATCATTTTAGCGAACTCGTTCAATATCAAACTTTTACCTCCAGCTTTAGCTGGGCTCGTAGTTGTTTTTTATCGAGACATACCAAAATTTTGGTTGACCTAGTTTTGTTCAACATCTAAAATTTGTTATGAATTTTTTACGTTTGTGTTGTATTGCAAGTGGTGCGAAGCGTCGCTTCGTCTCTGTCTCTGAAGTTGCTCACAAAATAAATGGAAGATAAGTAAGTACACTGACTAAGACTAATGCCGTGAATCGAAACAAAACTAGATGCTTGAGCTTAATGATTATGATTTTTCGTTTCTCAGAGCTTTCCGGTCCCTAAAAAACTTCCGGGTTGTCATTCTTGTCATTAGCAAAAGTATTGCAATATCTGTTACTACGTATTTTCCCCCGTAAATAACTTTGTTCAAAAATTCGTTCGAGAAAATGCCATGAAACAAGTACGTGTTTCAACTTTTTTATATACTGAGATGAGTTTGCTGGTGGACACCTTGGGCTAATTTCAACCCGTTATGGTGGCCCATAGTGCGAGAATTTGGATTGACAAGATGTTCGTCTCGAAAGAGCGGTATCTGAACACGTCTTTCATGATTCCAACTTTAGATATTGTCGAATGTTTTTGGCAGCTTCGATTACGCGTATCCAACTATCGCGAAAACCTCTTTCGATGAACTAATGCAATTTTTGTTAACAATAATCACCGGTTTTTGACGTCGTAAAAACATGCCATAAGTTCTGTGAAATGAGAATACTTGCAATTCGATATATTTTTTCACATGCAAGTGACTTGTAAGAGGAAGCTAGACTTTTTTCGCAAACAACTTTTCTTACAAATTTGTTTAAAAAAATAATATTGCTATATTATGAAACCTCTGTAATTTCCTAGACTTTCCTATTTGACCCAGTGGTTAAGCGCGCACCTTGGGAGCCTGAAGCATGTGGTTCGAACTACGGTTGAACGTTGTTTTTATTGCAGGAATTTTATTGCAGAAGCTGAGTTATCGTTTTTCTGTATTTTTTGCCGGCTTAACTTTCAAAGCATGGAATTTGCTTGAAATTTCAAGATTTTGTAAACTTTCTGTTTCAATACTTATTCTTTTGGTTGAAAGTTTTTGGACTTAATTGCTTCTAGCGTATCTTATATCGGCTTAGTTGCTCCATAAACGGTCGCTTCAAAGTTAAAAAAAAATTTTTAAGTGTTTTTGTGCTTATCGAGACGTAACAACTTTTTATAGCACAGAATTTTCTTGGACACCTTTTTTTGGCTCATTGGACGTCCACCGCGGTACTTTCCGCCTAACCGCTTGTCAAGCTTGTCTTTAACGCTGATTTTCGACTTAGTTTCCTCAAATTGAACACATCGTTCTTTTTTTTCTACGTGTGCGTTTATCACAATTTTTGCGGAGCTCGGAATCACCTCTGTGTTCATTTTAACTTTTAAACTAATTTTTGAACAACCCTGGCTCTCTTTTTTGGTTCTAAGAAAAGGTTTGGTTTCCTCAAAGTTCGAATTTGCTCATGCCATGTCTTGTGCTGCGGTAGGGGCAACCAACCCGCACCATTCACATAAAAATACATGATACTCAAAATGAATAGCAAACGCTAAGTGGTTCTACAATCGACAATATTTTTTAAAAATTCAATGACAATTTATATAAACCAATCCGTTTCTTTCTTGTTTTCACCAGATGTTAAAGATAAATAGAAAATGTTGCAGTTTATAGAAATTTAGCTGCACGTAAAAAACAAGAAGCAAAAGTCACTGAATATGTTTTTTTGTCCGTCGTTTGAGACTATTCAATTTATAGTGGTCTTTGTTTCGCAGTCCATCTTGGATTATTGATGCTTGAAAAAATCAAAATTTATTCAAAATTAGCCGTGAAAGAGCTCCAATTAGTTTCTTCTTGAGTTCTGAAGATGGATTTTTCCTGCCTTAATGGCGTTTACGCAGTCTGTCACCATACTTGGTTTCTTTACTGTAAAAAGCATGAAAAAATCACTAAGCATCGTCGTAAATTAGGACTATGAGTTAGACATTGAAGATCCTGATGCAATTTTGATACCGAAGAAATGGAAAGGGATCGACCCATTTTGAACTGTTAGATTGTGAGTTTATTGATGTGTTATCTTTTGTTTCCGCTGAAGTTCGCCTTTGAAATAAAGTCCGTCAAACTTACCTATGAAATCTGATATCTTGTTAGATAATTGAATGGTTTTAACTCATTACCGGTGCTACAAATTCAACACCGGTGGTCGACTACGGTTTTAAATCACCCATTACAGCTCAGAGAAAAATAAATTGAACATGAAAACATACCAGAGGCCTTCAGAATATGCAGTTATTTAAAGATTTCATAGTTTTAATGCGGTTACTATGCGCCTTTTTGATTGCACAAGTTTCCTTTTTCTTTGCTTTTTCTCAGCGAATAAGCATTGTAATGAGCTACAGAAATAGGGCATAATTGCCCATATTTTTGTATTTAATCAAAACAGTTAAGTAATAGGAGAAGATGGTTACGATTAAGAAATTTCATAATGTTTTTGTCATTTAGTATTGGCTTATGAGGCACGAAAACGCTCCCCTTCTTCAGCTCAAATGTTTTTTTTTCAGAAAAAGGTACCCTTCTTCTCGGTAAAAACTGAAAAAAGGCTAGTACAG